CACACACACACGTGAATCACGCGTCTTTAAGCCGCCAGCACGAGTGTCGTCATCTGTCGCGTCAGATTCACCAGTTCGGATCGCCGAATCGGTGGTGAACCTTGGTCCGGAAATTTTTTTTCGTCGTGGTCACGCTAGGAGGTGGCGTCGCCGCGGCGAGAGGCAGCAAACAATTGTACAAACACCGCCGTATTTCATGATAACACATGTACAAACAGCCTTACGTAAAGCTGGCAATTACGATAAAACTGGACGGGCGAGAAAAAACACGGAGCGAGCGCGACTTTTCGTGTACACAACGACTGCGGATCGGTGTTCTCGCCAGGTTGGAGGCGGCGGGACAAGGGCGGGCCACGGCGTCGCACGTGCGTCCCCGCTTTTGGGTCATCGCTTGTGAGATGACTGGAAAACTTTACTCGCCCGGCGAATTCGATTCTCCTGTGCTCGAAAGTTGTCGGAAACACTTCGATGTTTGGAATTGGCACAGACGATCTGTCTAGATTTCTTTATATCTTTATAAGTTTTATATAATTCGAATTCCCTTCTCTTTAGCTTCTTCACCGCGTGGAAACGTGAATTTAATTTGATGATCGTTCGTCGTCAGTCGGATTCACTCAATTTCGAAGCAAAATTGCTTTCAAATGTATATAAGAGTTGAGGAATTATACATGGTCGTGAAATCCGATTACCGTGATCTTTTAAATCATTAAGCGCCTTAGTAGGTAAAGTAAAAGGTTTCCCAGCCGTGCTCCTAACACTATAGAAACTATACACAGGTAAAGTCGATTCCTGTTAGATTACCTGGTTAGGCAGCATTAACACACGAGGTTGCCTACTTGCAGGTGTTATAAAAAAAAAAAAGAATCCAAATTTACACTCTCGAAGAAATTAAAATTACAAGTTAGAAAAATGCAACGAGACGTAACAAACAAGAAAAAAGATTACAATTTAAAAATTTATTCCACACGAGATACTATTGGAAAATCTTAGGAATTCTTCTTCCAAAAATCCGAACCATTCGTAAACGGTTAAACTGCAAAGACACCGAACGACGCTTTCGATGGTTCGTCGTCAACCGAGCGTATCGTCAAATTACGCGGTCGAGGCCTTACTCGACGAAATTAAACATTACGAATCCAGCGTGTGTGTGTTCTCAACCCCTGTACAACCTACTCACCCTCTACACACCCAGCAACCTGGCGTGACTCCGGAAACGTAGCGGAGCGCACTCTGACGGCGGCTGGTGTAAGCTCGAATTCGGTTCGATCGAAGGGCATGCGCCGCAGCCGTACGTCAGGGACCTGCCGTATCGATCGTGGCGAAGGGCAGCAAAGGGCGAAGGAGACCGGGTGTGCGTGTCCCGGGCTTGCACACGTGTGAACGGGCCCCCGGAGCCAAGGATCCTGCGGCTAGGCAACCTAACTTACACGAGATTACGCGGAGCCAATAGCGTCGCAGGAGCGGCCGTCAAAGGCATATCGCAATGCGTGGTATGAGCCGAGTCTCTAAAAGGGGATTAGAGCTCCTCGTATTCCGGGATATGCGCGTACACATACACACATATATGTATATGTATATGTATACACATATGCATGTACCACAGAGGCTGACTGCGTCTCTTCCT